CTTGATAGCAGACATTCTTTCTGGAGTGAGGTGGAATCTCAGCATTGTTTTCATTTGCATCTCTCGAATGACTGGTGATGTTGAACATTTTTTCATATGTTTATTTGCCATTTCTAAAGAAGTCAGAATTCTTAAGTACCCAGAAATTTTCCCAATTTTTTATAAAAGATAAAAATAACAAGATAAATATTAATTTAGTCAAAAAAGCTAATGTTCAGCACATGCTCCAAATGTCATATATTTACAGTATCAGAGGAAGACCAGGTGATAAGCCTAAAATTTTTGGAAATATTAATTATATATCAAGTAGGAAGCTGATCAAATCAATATATACCATGTACTATATAGAATTCTATACAATTATCAGAAGGAATGAGGTAGCTTTTACATGTAATGCTACGGAAGATCACCAAATTGTAGTGCTAAAGCAAAAAATAAATTGAGGAAAAGCTAACCAAAAATTTTATATGAACAGGTTATTCTTTTATAAAAATATGCCATTCTTTTAAAGTTTTGCTATATTGTAAAACTATTCTAAGATTTATCATCAGAAAATGACTATTTTAATTTCCATCAGTAGATTAGGAATGAAAATCTTACTCTCAAACAAAGCTTTTGTACATGGGGAGGGGAGAGGTCACACAGTGAGGGGTGGTAATGGGAAAAAAAGAGGCGGATGTATCATGTACAGGTCCAAATTCCCTTTGGTGGGTATTATCATTATGTATGCCTAAAATATACCAATAAATGTTTTGTTATTAAAAAAACTAAAACAGAAAAAAAAGTCCTACTCTCATTGTTCCATTTCTTCTAAAATGTCTTCAGCTCTATTCTTTTTTTCTGTTCATATGAACAGAATTAATAGGATGAACTCAATCACCTGGTAATAGGTGATCAAAGAAAGATAACATGAATGTGGAAAAGACTTTAGCCCACAGAAAGCAAGAAGGTAGCTTTTACTTTTTTTTTCCCTCCAGTACAGGGATTCAGGACCTTGTGCTCGTGAGGCAGGTGCAGCGCCATTGAGCTAAATCCCCAGCCCTAAAAGAAGGTAGCTTTTAAAAAATGTATGAAAGCACTAGCCACAGGTGACCCATCAAACATAGTTTGGGACCTGGGTATGGTGGCAACGGCTTTAATCTCAATACTCAGGAAGCTGAAGCAAGAGGGTTGGCAAGAGTTTGAGGTTGGCCTGGGCTACAAAGTGAGTTCAAGGCCAGCATGAATTACAATAAAAAACCCTGTCTCAGGCCAAAAATCAAACAAACAAATATTTTAATGCCATGGGGAAAATGCTTATATATAAAATTAAGTACAAACACACAAACACACACACACACACACACACACACACACACGCACCCCAATTTTATAATTATAGGAATCTATTAAAACAGATTGTTTTATCAATCTATGAGTCAAAACGCTAAACTGGCTGTACTGACCCACACCCATTATCACAGCATTCTGGAGGGCTGAGGCAAGAGGATCACAAGTTTGACCCCAGCCTGGGCAACTTAGTGACCCAGTAAGACCTTGTCTCAAATTTAAAAATAAAGAGGACAGGAGATGTAACAGTGTGAAGACCCTGGATTCAATCCCCAGTACTAAAAATAAATAAGTAAAAAAGCTAGAAAAAAATATATAAATATGTTAACAGGCATTATTTCTGGATGGGTGAATTTATGGGTAGTTTTATGGTTTTCTCTGGCTTTCCAAAATTTCTACCAGCAGCTTCTATTTATAATTTTGACCAGGAAAAAAAAAAATTTTAATGATAAACTAAGTAGCTAGTTCCTTACAAAAGGCTTTTGTGAATTATAACAAATACAATAAAGCATTAGAAATGCTAATTTCTCAGGGCCAGGGATTTAGCTCAGTGGTTTCACCGCCTGCTGCATAAGCGCAAGGACCCAAGTTCAATCCCTGGTACCAAAAAAAAAAAAAAA